GAAAGGCTGAAGTGCTGAAGCTTGGCTTCTTCTGCAGATCTGGTGGTCTTGAGCTCACCGTAGTCCATGTTCAGCTATCACCTGACCCAAAGCTAAGTTCAGATGAGATCAGGCATGTTCAGAGTGATATGGCCGTAGACCTAAAGCTAAGTTCAGAATGAATCCTGCTCCTCTTGGGGAACCAACTGTCAGCCCTGGTGTGGGATGTGACACAAGCAGCAAGAGTCCCTGTCCCTTCTATGGCCTGGGTCAGGTACCTTCCCACATGATATCTTCAAGGAAACCATTCTTGCGGTCGTCCAAAGCCTGCTGCTGGCCTCAGGATCAAGTCTGAATGTAGTATAACTCAAAAGGTACTGCCTTACAGGTTTGTCCCTAAGACCCTGTCCCATCTGCCTCTAGGGCTATAGTCCCAGATCACACTGAACTTTGCTTCACTCTCTCACCTTTTTTTTCTGCTCCTCACAGTGAGCTTTGTACTTCTTAGAACATTTGGTCCCAGTCCTTGAACTCCTTTTCTAGAGTTTTGATTAGGTGTCACCTCCCCTGAAAAGCCCTTGCTCACAAACCAGGCAAAATCAGGTGCCCTCTTTTCTTTTCTGCTCTCATGACAAACAAACAAACAAATATTTCTGCTCCCCTTAAAGGAAAGATTTGAGAAAAGATCAGGCTTGATAGTGCACCCCTATAATCTCAGCATTTAAAAGGCTGAAGGTGCCGGGCGTGGTGGCCTACACCTGTAAAGTTCTTTTATCAACACTATCTGGTCGCCTAATGTTCCATTTATAGATCTGCTTCCACCTTAAGACTGTGAGCTCTTCCAGACTTGGCCAAGGATTATTCATTCCTCAGTCCTGACTATATCCAACATCAAGAATAGTGTCCATGGCTGGGTATAGTGGTGCACACCTGTAATCCCAGCACTCAGGATGCTGAAGCAGGAGGATTGCTGCAAGTATGAGCTCAGCCTGGGCTACAAAGTGAGTTCAAGGCCAGCCTGAACTGCATAGCAAGACCCTGTCTCAAACAAACAAACGATGTCCAATACATAACAAGTGCTTAATAAGTGTCTTCCAAATGAATGAATGAGGCCTCAACCCAGACTCCATCCCTAAGAAGCTATTTGAGTCAAAACCTAACTCTCACTGTAAAGGACTCTCTCTGCCTTGCCTCCAAATGAAGAGCTTTTTGGGCTCTCTCTCACACTGCACCCCTCAGGATACTCACTCCTTCACGACACGAATGCCCAGGGAACGTGCAGAGCCAATGATGGAGCGGACAACAGAGGACAAAGGTACATCCTGCAGGGCGAAGGCATCATCCTGAGCTTTGACGCAAGCGATCTCATATATGTGCTTTAAAGTCACCAGGCCTGCTACTTCTTTCCCTAAGAAGAAGGAACAAGTAGCTCTTCAGGTCTTCCCGCTTCCTGCCGGAGCCCCCACAGTCTTAGCTCCTGTCTCTCACCTGTCTGCCGGGCCCCCTTCTCAATCCCTGCAGCTGCCTTCAGGAAGTAGGAAACAGTGGGTTGTCCAAACTTGATTTCAAATGTCCGGTCAGGCTTAACAGAAAAAAGAAATGTGAGAATATTTCTTCCTGCTACCCAGCCAAAGAAGCTTTCAACATCTTGTCCTCCCTCCTCTAAACTCACCACGCCGGGGCTGGGGATTTAGCTCAGTGGCACAGCGCCTGCCTGGCAAGCGCAAGGTCCTGAGTTTGATTCCCGGTACCGGTGAAAAAACCAAAAATAAATAAAAATAAATAAACTCACCATCCCATGGTGCTCCCAACAGACCATAAAAGCACAGGGAAAAATAAATCTACTGCAAACATCCCTGTAATCTCTACTTCTGGCCCAACTCTGGTCTGGAAGCCCCAGTGAGATGGAGTAATAATGGGAAGAACCATAATATGGCGGGATAAGGAAGACTCAGGAAAAAAAAATACAGTCTAGATTTTACTGTGTCAGTGGGGAAAGTGGGGCCCAGTAACAGCAAGAGACCTGAGCCAGGTCAGGAACAGAGCACCAAGCGCTGCTTGACTGGCCCTAGGGTCAGACAGGAGTAACATGCACGGGAAGGAAGCCAGGGATCAGACTCCAGACTCTGCACCTTCACAAAAATCTTCGTAGGCAGAGGAATGCCTTCCTTGATATCCTTTGTCTTCTCGTTGAATTCCTTGCAGAACTGGTTGATCGAAACACCTCGCTGTGAGGGAAGCACAGAGGGTTAGTGCTGGGACCTGGCGCCGTCCCTTCACTCCGTTTTCACTTCTGTGTTTCGTCTTCTTTCTGCTATACAGATTGAACTACCGTTTCACGCGCCAGATTTGTACGCACCGTCCCACTTTACCCCTACAACAGCCTACTGCGCAAGGGCTGACGAAACTGACGTGCAAAGAAGCTATGTAACTAACGAAAGGGCTTCAGGTAGTCTAGCCGACCTTTGAACCAGGGCTTCCCTGGCTCCAGAGCCCGCACCCTCCCGAGCCGGGGTCCCGCCACTACCACACCTGACCAAGGATGGGGCCTAGTGGAGGCCCAGGCATGGCTTGGCCGGCCCGCACGATGGCCCGTATCACGCCGCCGGCGTCGGACTTCTTAAGTGCCCGACTGGCCCGGCTTAGCTTCGACATGACCCAAGCTGTCTGTCTTGGCTCGATTTAGGGTAGGAGCCGAATAGCATGTAGGGCGCCGCCATCTTGGGCCAGAGGTCAAGGGTCCTCACATTACGGCAGGTAAGGCCAATAAATAGCCTTGTTTCAGTCCTAAAGCTCTCACCCTAATAAGACAAGAAGGGTTAGGGAAAGAAAAAATGTTTTAAACTGTGTTCTGAAAATAGGTAAAGAACCTGAATGGCTTTAGTTGTACACACCCCTACCCTATCCCCACGCCGAGTATGTATAGGCAATATCTTGGACAGCCAAAAAGGAGTGGGCCCTTGATTCCCGTACAGCATTCTGGGTATGGTAGTTTTGATCCCTTTATGCTGTCTTGCTGAGTGTTCTGCACTGGGGCGCCGTCTGCTGGAAACTATGATAATCTTAAAATTTGAAATTATACTGGAGTTTGTTTTTGGGAATTAGAGTCTCTTTACTCTGAGTTAATGTTTCCTTCCTGTTGTTGAAAAGCAATATACATGTAAAACAATAACCATTGATAATTTCCTACCACTCTGTCTGTAATTTGGTAAGCCCCCCCCCATTGTTATATTATCCTTCTTTTACTCTTTAAAATTAAAAAAAAAAAAAAGAAAAGCAATATAGTTACCAGTGTTGTATAGGCCCTGGAAACAAGATATGTCTCTTGCTAGCTGTGATCTTGATCAAGTTACTTAATTTATGCTCTGTTCTACCCTGTACAATGGGGAGTATAATACACAGCACCTACCTTTCAGGATTGTTGTGAAAACTGATTTAACAGAGTACTCTATAAAAATGCCTCGCACCTAGGACTCATGAATTCTTATTATCTGTACCATAAAGACAAAACTTTCCCAGAACTATTGAGGCTTAATGAGCCAGGACATTTGATATATCAACTGTAACCACAAAATAAGCACTTGCTATATGCCAGGGACTGTGCAAAGTTCTTTAAAGGCATGATTATATCACTCAGTCCTTACACAGGCATACAGAAAATACTGCTGTCATCCTTTACAAATGAGAAAATTGAGACACTTTCACAGTAGTCCACTCTCACTCTATAGGGTGTACAGTACTTTTTCCCTCCTTTTTTTTTTTTTTTTTGTTTTATTCCCGGTACCGGGAATTGAACTCATGACCTTGTGCTTGCCAGGCAGCCACTGTGCCGCTGAGCTAAATCCCCAGCCCCTTTCCTCTCATTTTTACTTGGCCCAAACTCACTCATCTTTTCCTACCTTTAACAAATATTTAAAAAAAAAAAAAATCCAAAAGTTGGTTAGAATGGGAGGAGTCCTGAATGCAGCCTGGGGCAAGGGGGTGCAATATTCACTTGCTGTCTATGAAAGTACAGTTTTGATTATTCTGTCTCTTACATATTATAAGGAAGCCACTCCTCCAGTGTACCCTGGAGATATATGGACTCAGAGTGTCCTCTGTGAGGTTTAGTGGCAATGACAAAGATGAGGCTGGACAGGCAGGCGGGGCTCGGATCACACAGGGCTTCCCAGCTCTGGGGTGACTGTGGCTGTTCAGGAGGAAGCCACTGACGAGTGTTAAACTTGTGCATCATATTTGCATTTTGAAAAGGTCACCCTAGTTTGGGTAGGTAGGCGGGATTGAAAGAGGGCAAGGATGGGTGAAGGGAGATCCATTAGACTGAGGAAAGAAGATAGTAGAGAGATAATGGTGGGGGGCTGGGGATTTAGCTCAATGGCACAACACCTGCCTGGCAAGCACAACATCGTGAGTTCGATTCCTGGTACGGAAAAAAAAAAAAAGAGAGAGAGAGATTATGGTGACCTGGACCAGGGAAGAGGAGGAGACCAACTGATGAGATATTTAGAAGACAGAATTTGTGCTTGTGCGGTATGAACTGTGTCTGTCTTTATGAGGAGTGACTCACCACCATGCTATGAGATACAGATGTTGTTATTCCCACTCTACAGATGAAGAAATTGGGGCACAGAGAAGGTAAGTCACTTGTGCTAAGTTACACTGTGGTGATTTGAATATGGTTCCCACACCTCCGAAACTCAAGTTGAGATTAAATTGCCATTGTAACAGTATTAAAAGATGAGGCCTAGTCAGATGTGGTGGTACACATCTGTAATCCCTGCACTCTGGGAACCTAAGGCAAAAAGATTGCAAGTTTGAGCACAGGTTGGGCAATTTAGTGACTGAGGCCCTGTCTTTAAAAAAGAATAGAGATGTAGCTCAGTGAGAAGGCCCTGAGTTCAATCCCCAGTGCCCCTGCAGTGCCAGAAAAAAATGAAGAAAGGAAGCCAAGATGCAGTAGCCTCTGAGGTAGGGGAAAGGCCTAAGGAGAGTGAGTCACCTCTAAATCTGCAGGAGACTTGTATGGAAAAAAAAGCAAATGAAAAATGTGAATCAGGCTGAAACTGAGTCTGTTACCACTCCCCAAAGAAAGTGGAGAAGCCCAGACAACATGTGTAAGTAGGTGGTATGCAGATCCCTGGGATACACAGTTTAAAAAGAGTTGCTGGGGCACCAGGAGAAAGAAGAAGGAGGGGCATGCAGCAATGGGAAGAAAGATGTCAAAGGCCCAACTGGGAAGGCCTATACTTGATGGTTCCTGGGTGGTCCAATGGAGGCGAGAAAAGGCAGAAGGTCAGTGAGTGGCTGTTTTCATTCCCTTGGGAAACAGCAAGACCCTGAGGAGGGAAAAGCCATGTAGTGATCACGGAAGGCATGGCAGATATGACTGTGTCCTTAAATTCAGAAAGGCTCATATGCTTTGAAGTGACACGGAGAGAAGGGGGAAGCCACCTGAAGAGAAAAGCTGATGAGACAGAAGCCTTCTCAGGGTGGAGGACCAGATGCCTCCTCTCAACAATATCATGTCATGGGAGAAAGGCAGAGAAACTCCAAATATTCACTGATGAGAACAGAATTCAACCTTAGTGAGAGAAAAATAAATCTCTGTATCTTATACCCAGGAATTATGGGCTGAGATTTGTACCCACCACACACAACCAATGGTCAGCTCCAGGCCTATAACCCTGGGAGCCCCAAGAAGGAATGTGGAAGAACAGACAGAGAAGGGGGGCAGGCAGAGGGCTGGAAGAGGAGCCTGGGCTCTGTTCAATCTTCAATTGGTGATGTGGAAAATTAGGGTTCTAGAATTATCCACGTGTAGTTTATCCCTTTCCCTCCTCCCTTACATTCAAATTTGTCACCAACTCCTGCTCATGTATGTCCTTACAACTCTCACCAGCCTTGCCATTTGCTCTATCTATAACTGCCCAGAAAGCATAACTTAGGTCCAGTTTCTGCACGTGTGCACACACACACACACACACACACACACACACACACACACCCCTTCCTATCTGTGGGACCTTAGGCAAAGAGTCTCTTCACTTCTCTGAGTCTCATTTTTCTCATCTATGAAATGAAAATAGTAAATATGCTTACACATGGGATTGTTAAAAGAAATCAACAAGATTATCCAGGAAAGGTTTTTAGCTCAGGCCTGGCTCCTACATGTTTAGGTAAACACTTTCCAAAAGCCAACTATTATTGTCAGTTCAGAATGACTGACAATGACTAACACTCACAGGGCGTGGTGGTCCAGGCCTGTAATCTCATCATTCTGGGAGGCTGAGGCAGGAGGACCACCAAGTTTGAGCCCAGCAGAGGCAATTTAGCAGCTTATTCAGGCCCTCTGTCATTTAAAAAGAAAAAAAATAATAATAAAGGAATGGCAGCCCCTGTGATGACCTCTGTCCCTATTCTTGCCCTTCTAATCTATTCTCTCCAACACAGCTAGTGTGAAGCCTCACCTAAAGCTTATCTGTGGTGCCTATAGCTTCTTTTCCAAGAGTGTGGATCTTGGTCCAGCTGAGACACTGAATGAAATATAGCTTTTGGGACAAAGCCACCTCCAGAGATCCTTAGATTTATTTCACTGCCCCAATGATACACCACCCTTTTACAAGTTGAAACCTATACTCACTGGTATGAGATTGAAAGCCCTCCAGATCTAGGCCCTATCAATCTCTCCAGTTGGTTAATCCCTACCTCACACCATACCCATCAGTAGCATGTGTATTCCCTGTTACCCTGAGCTCTCCTGCACCTCTCTGACTGTGTGTGTGTGTGCCTGGACACTATTTCTCCCCCTTACTTCCTGCTTCCTCTGCCTACTCACCTCTTAGGCTAGAGAAGAGTTCCTGTTATAGGCCCAACTTCATTACAGGCCAGAGTCTTTTGAAGTTTTAACCCCAAGTTCCTCATGATGTGACGATATTTAAACATAGGGCTTTCAGAGGGGTGGTTAAGGTAAGTGAGACAAATTAGTGTGCCCTCTAATTCAATCTGGCTGATGTCCTTGCCAGAAGAGAAAATTTAGATAGAGAGATATTAGGGCACAGAGGGACAGCCATGTGAGGACATAAGAGAAGGAGGCCATCTGCAAACCAAGGAAAACAGCCTTAGAAGAAACCAAACCAACTGACAATTTGCTGTTAGACTTCCAGCCTCTAGAACTGTGAGACGATGAATTTCTGGTGTTTTTTTGGGTCGGGGGTGGGGGTGGGGGTTTGGGTTTTTTCTGGTACCAAGAATCGAACTCATGACCTCGTGCTTGCCAGGCTGGCACTGTGCCGCTGAGCTAAATCCCCAGCCCCCCGAATTTCTGTTTTTGAAGCTCCAAGTCTGTGGTACTTTGTTACAACAGTCTAAGCAGACTAATGTAGCTGCTTCTCAACTTATGATGAGGTTCTATTCAGATAGGCCCCTCACAGTTGATAATACATGGACTACACCTAGCCGACTGAACATGATAAACTTGACTTAGTGTCCTTTACATGCTCAGAACACTTACATTAGCATATATGTAAACAAAGCCTATTTTTAAAAAAATTATTGAAAACTTCATGTAATTTATTGAATATCTGCATCTAAAAAATGCTGGCAATGCAGCACATGCAGAGCATTAGTTGTTTCAGTCATGAGGCTGACTGTTGGACTTCTCATCCAACTCTGTCCAGGGTGAACATGTCCCCCGAACTAGGTGCCCGCAGATGTATAAGAAAAGTAAGAATAAA